CGGGGCGGGGAGGGCGCCCGGCGGATCAAGATGGCAATGTCTCTCGTCCAGGCGTGCCGCAGCCTGGCGCTCTCAACATGGCTGCTTTCCTTTTGTTTCGTGCATCTGCTCTGCTTGGACTTCACCGTGGCCGAGAAGGAGGAATGGTACACCGCCTTCGTGAACATCACCTACGCCGAGCCCGCGCCCGAGCCCGGGGCCGGCGGCGCGGAGCTGCGCACCGAGAAGTCCGAGTGCGGGCGCTACGGGGAGCACTCGCCCAAGCAGGACGCCCGCGGGGAGGTGGTCATGGCCAGCTCGGCGCACGACCGCCTGGCCTGCGACCCCAGCACCAAGTTCGCCGCGCCGACCCAGGGCAGGAACTGGATAGCCCTCATCCCCAAAGGCAACTGCACGTACAGGGATAAAATCCGGAACGCGTTCCTGCAGAACGCCTCGGCCGTGGTCATCTTCAACGTGGGCTCCAACACCAACGAGACCATCACCATGCCCCACGCAGGTGAGCGGCCCGGGCGGGTGCGGGGCGGCGCGGGGGAGGGGAGCCGCGACGACGGAGGCGCCGGGAAGGACGCGGCAGCGCCCGGCTCCCAGCTCCTCTCCGCAAAGTCCGTGCTGCGCGCAGGACGCGCCTCGGCTCCCTGGACCTGCTAAGTTTTGCTCTGCGTTACTTGGGGTGAGGGTGGGGAGGACGGGGTTACACAGAGGAGTGGGTTCACTGCGTGGCGGGGAATGCAGGAGAGCTGGGCATCACGCCGCTCGGGGACGAGGATTCGCTGGGGCGGGCTGACTTTTCCGGGGAGAACTTGGGGTTTGGAGGGCAGGGCCCGGGTATGGTTCTGGTTAGCGACCGGCCCGCACCTGTTTGGAACCGGTGGCTCTGATAACTGAGCTCTGCGCCGGGGTGTGTGCATCAGGTGGAGCCCTGCCTGTGCTTTTTTCTATCAAGAGGTGGGTAGGGTTACGTGCTAGCAGCTCACCGCCGCGAGCTGTCCTCTCCAAGTTAGGTTTCAGCTCTTAGGGAGATTAGTAAATCCCCCACCCCCTTGCCGGGTTTATGCACGTCATAAATAATAGTAAAAGTGCTGTTGTTCTGCCAGACTGTCGTCCAGAGGAGCTGACGAGCGAGCACAGTGGATAAATAGTAACAATCCTCAATAAACCGAGAACGAGGTGGACATAAACTTGTAACTACTGTACTTTTCCGGTGTTGCATTCTGTCCTTTGCATGGTTGGGATTTCATGCTGAAAGTTTCATTTCTGCAGAGAATGAACGGCTTCAACACAGAAGGAATAAGCTTTTGTTAATGGACACAGTGCCAGGATTAGAAGTACATTACTTCCCCAGAATTCAGCTCAGTAACACTTTGTGCCTGACATATGCGATGTTTTTGTAGTCAGGTTTGCTAGCCTAAGTCAGTAGTTCTAGCCGACCAGTCTTGTTGAATCTAGGGTTACTGCTGTGTACAGGTGCGTGAAAAAGGAGCCCTTCTTCCTCCCGGAGGCTCCTGTGGGGTAGAAGAGGAGATAGAAATGACAGATGCATTTTCTGGCTGGTGTGGCCTAATCAAAAGTACTGTTTTCTTTAAAAGCCAGCTTTTCATAATCAGGCTCCTGAAACGGAACTCCAAGCGCTGGCTCATTTGCGCAGGTGTCCTCTTTAGAACAAGTTTCCAACGAGCTCCTGTCACCTATTAGTGAAATAGGGATGCACTTGGCTTGCCTCCGTAATCAACGCCAGCTGTTTCAGGCAAGGAACTTTGTCAGCCTTCACACAAACAGGTGGGAAAGGGAACTGTTAGACTTAACAACCCACAGGCCAGAAAAAAAATGCAGAAAAGGAGAGGTAGTTTTTACTTTTTTGGAAAAGTTACCATGCACCGCTTTAAAAACATTGGATGTATTTTTTTGAGCGCAACACCTTTCTAGGGGACAAGATGGTCTGACTTTGAATCAGAAGAGCAGTACTTAAAACTTGCTGCCCAAGCATGGTAGAGCTGTGGAGGACCACTTTAAATCGTGTAAAGTATCTTTAAATAAGTGCAGTAATGTATGAAATCTGCATTCAGGAAGTGGGAAGGAGTATGATGGAGTTTTGCTAGTTCTTAAACCTTAACAACTGAAGGTTGTTAGCTGGCATTAGAGGATTCTTTAAATGTTTCTGTGTGCATAAACATGAAACCTTAAATTAGGTTTCTTTGTGCACAAAGTAAGGGCATCGTTTGTTCCCGTCTAAAAAGGTTTTCCAGAACTGCCGGCACGTTGGATCAATTAATGGCTTGCCTGTTCTTAATGAAAGCAGTAACATGATTTTCCACACAAATCATTCTTAACACATAATGGGAGCAAAAGGTTTGAAAGTTAAAGGCTAGAAGAATGCAAAGGAAATTCTAGCTCTGTTTCCAAAGATGTGTTACTCTTATAGCTACAAACCTCCACATTACCTTTTGACATTTAGCCACATTAGTGAGAGGTTGCACTGATTTCTGCTAGAATCTCATTATAAGGAAGTTATGTGAACCCTTCACTTGACTCTGAAATTCTGACTGAATCTCAGACAGGGCAAGCACTGGTCTAGCGGTCAGTGTCTTCCTTTTGGTTCCAAACTTTGAAAGCTTTACTTCTTTATAACTATATGCAGGTCAGATTTCTAAATTCACTTTAGGAAATGCACTTTAGATATTAATCAGATATTCTTATTATGTAAGCTTGAGGTGCAGTATGCCATAGGATCTTTATAGTTGGGCTCTTTTAAATTCAGTCTCCCAAAAGTTTAAAAAAAAAAACAAAAGGCTGATGTTAAATCACTTCTGTAGGTCTTTTATTTTTGGAGCTGATAACTTGATAACTTTGAGATGAGGTCTGGATTTAGGGTTATGCAGACTATCATGTGCTCTTATGCATTTCCTGTGACGTGACCCTAACACACCCAATATCTCAAAATGCAATAAAATAAAAATTGTGTTCTTTTCTCTATAAACCCTTTCTTTCACTTGTTTCCTTTTCTGTGTAATTTGAGTTCTTGCCATTTCTGCAGTTATGATTTCTCATTCACAAAGACAGAGTCCCCTAGTTGCTTTACTTTAAAGCAAGTTACATTGTTTCCCTCAGCATAGCAGCTTCTTTGAGATCTAATTTACATGCTCTACAATTTGGTCATTTAAGAATAAAACTCAGTCCTTCTAGTGTATTGTCTGAGTTTTGCAGCTGTCACCACTAATTCAAGAATACAAGAACAAAACTCTTGTAACTTGCTAGCAGTTATTCGCCCAACCTCTAGTTCTAGTCAAACACTAAGCTACTTTGCATCTCTCTATATTTGTCACTTCTGTTCATTTCCTATGAATAGACTCACATACTAGATAGACTTTTGTGACTGGCTTCTTTGTTTCCAAGGTCCCTTAAGATTGTGAGTATCCCATTCCTACTTTTTACTGCCTGATACTCCACTGCATGGATACCCCACATTTTATTTTCTGTTCATCAGTTGAGAGTTGCGGGGAGTAGCTCAGTGGCGGAGCATTTGCCTAGTGTGCGGGTCACACTGGAATCAATCCCCAACACTGCAAAAACAAAATAAAACCTATTCATCAACTGATGGGCGCTTAGGCTGCTTCCACTTTTGAGGGATTGTCAGAGTTTTTCTAGAAGCAGCTAAGCCACTTCACATCTCCAGCATCAGTGCATGAAGATTCTGGTTTCTGCACGTCCTCACCAGTGCTTGTTACTATTTGTCTTTTTTATTTTGCCATCCAAGTGGCTGTGAGGTATTGTCTTCATTGTGGTTTTCATTGGTGTTTCCCTGAAGGGTGATAGTCACTTGCTAACATACTCGCTATCCACTTTCTACTTTTCCTTTGACTCTCTTTACCCCTTATGCTAATATCACATCAGCCAATGACTTTCAACTCATACATGTTTTGTCCTAGGGAATAGAGAGGGGGATGATTCACGAGGAATATCTGCCTCTCCGTGAGGTGGGAAGACTGGGCCAGAAGTTTCTAGGTCCTCTAGAAAGCGGTGTGCATCTTCAATGCAAGGGAAATCAGAGCGTGTGAGCACAAAGCTACCCAGGAGTGCAGCCTCCCCCTGATGGGAGCCCCAGAAGTGAATATTTGGGTACAGGGAGAGGTAGTGAGGCCCCAGTTATCTCCTGGGAGCTGTCTCTTGATGCCTACCTGACAACCACCTTTCAGTGTACTCAAAGTGATGATATCAGGAATTTCTGGAGGCACTTGAGGGGGAGTGGCTGACTGGGAACACAGCTTCAAGAACCAGCCCCTTGGCTTTGCGTCCTGGTTCTGCTACTTTCTCACTGTGTATCTTTGAGCAGGTTATTCCACCTCTCAGGGCTTGGGTTTCTTCATTTGTGATGAGGGAATAGCAGTATCCAGCGCTGCTCTTGCTATGTGAATCAAATGGGTTAATACCTAGACAGCACCCACATCTGTAGCAGGTACATGGTAGTCAATAAAGCTCACAAGCAGTGAACTCGGTGACACACAGTGGCATAGAGGAGCCATGGACTGGCCCATCATCACCCAGAGGCTTAGTGAGGCCCTGGCAGCCTTCGGGATGATTCTTTATTTACCCTTTCATGTTTTAAAGACCTGAGCAGCTATGCCTGTTTCTGTTGCAGCGTCAGTGACTTGAAACAGGGTGTTTTAGTTCCCTCTGCTGATTGGTGAGCATCTTAGGATTCTCCTGTTGCATTTGTGCTTTCTCGCAGCTGAAATGCAAATGCAGTATGATCTGCTGGTAAATTGGTGTGTGCTGGCTGTCCATGCCTGAGTTTCCATGTGGAGGAAGCGATAACATTTTCTTTCTTCCTTTTTGAAAGAATGTGTGTGCTAGCTTTTTGTCCATTACCAGCGGGTAGTTAAGAGGAGATTAAACCTCTAGTTGTCTAAGAAAAACTTTTGAGACTCTGGATTCCTAATAGCGGCTTGGGATGGGGGAGGGGGAGAGAGATGGTCTGGCTGAAGAAGCTATTGTGAGAACAGGCGCAGCCCAAATTCTCCGCTTCTCCAAGGTTGGAGATCAAATGTGATCAAATGGGATCAAATCTTTGTGTCTCTGTGCAGGGGGTGCTTACCATTTCATTCACGGGTTCTTGCTGCCTTTGTGGCCATTTCTTTAGCTCCTAAAATGTGCCTTTGCCTTCACCTCTGTAGTGGCATTGGCTGCTTTAAATTTTTTCAGAGCTTATATGTTTTTAAAATATCTGTGTACACTTTTGTTTTCCATTTTCCAATAAATTTTATTCTCTTTTTCAGCACACTGTAGCACTGTCTTGGGGAGTAGTATTGACCCACAAGTACTTGCTCTCTGCCAGGCATGTCCTAAGTACTTCGTGTACACATTGAGATAGGTACCCTTGTTATCCCCATTCCCTAGATGAAGAAACCAAGGCAAGCGGAGGTGATTTGGAGGTGCTAAGTGGTAGTGCAGGACTTGCAGACCCAGGCAATCTGTCTGCTGTATCTAATGCCCTGGCTCCCG